TACCCCCCCCTGTTCCTGGTCACCCCTTCCCCGGTAGTCCCTGCCCCTCCTCCTCCTCCTCCCCGTCCCGCCCCCTCTGGTGTCTCCCATGTCACCCCCCTTCCGTCCGTGGACCCGGTTGAGGAGTCTTCTGACTCTGGTGGCCCTCCGGTGCAGTCCTCGCCGGCCGCCCCTCCCCAGGTGTCCCCTCCCCAGTCCCCTCCTCCGCCGTCCCTGCCGCCACTGCAGCCGTCGCCGTCGCCGCCGCCGCCGCCGCCGCCGCAGTCGCAGCCCCCGTTCGCTGACTCTGGGGGTGCTCGTCCCGGTCGCCCTGAGGGTGGTCCCTCTGGGGGTGCGGGTGTGGAGAGTGCCGGTGGTAGCCGAGGAGCAGCTTGCGGTCCAGGTGTCGCCGTTGTGCCGCCGCAGCAGCAGTCCCCGCCGGTGTCCGCCCTTCGCCTGCTCGGCCTTCCGTCCCCCGACCCTGCGTCGGTTCCTCCCCGACCGTCTCCTCCTCTTCCTGTCTACGGCCCTGTTTTCCCTCCGCCGGACTCGTCCCCGGCCCGTCTCCCCCCTCGTTCCCCTCCTGTGTCCCCTCCCCTGTCTCCTGACCCGACTCCTCCATCGCACGTCTGGTCTCACCGTCCCTCCCGTGCTCGTCCTGCCTCGCCTGTCCTGCGCTCCCACCCTATGTTGCTTCGTTCACACGCGTCTCGTCCTCCCCTTCTGCCGTCGCCTCCTCCGTCCTCCCTTGTTGTTGCGCCCCCCCGCTGTCCGACTACCTTCGTGCCGCTCGTCCTCTTGTTCCTCGGGTCCTTGCCTCTCTCGTTACCGACCCGTCTGTTCCAGTCTCGTGCCTTGACGCTCTTGTCGCTGCTGTCGCTGACTTCGCCTCTACCCGCCGCCTTGACTACGCCACCGCTCTGGTCTCTGACCCTGCCTGTCCTCCGTCTGTCGGGGGTGCTCCTGCCCTTGGCAGTGACGTCCTGGAGGACCGCCAGTTCGAGCTTGCTTTCCTCTCCGAGGCTGCTCCCCATCTCTGTTCCATGCTGCTAGTCCCTGAGGGTGACCTAGACGCTTTCGACATCCCGACCCCTCGCACTTACGCTGAGGCGACTTCGGGACCCTGGGCCTCGCAGTGGATAGCTGCCATGGAGCAGGAGATGGCATCTTGGAGATCCACCGGCACCTTCCTCGACGCAGTTCCCCCGCCTGGGGTGAACGTAGTCGATGGCCGCTGGCTCTTCAAGGTGAAGCGCCCTCCTGGAGAGCCGCCTGTCTTCAAGGCGCGCTATGTGGCTAGAGGCTTCAGTCAGCGCGAGGGGGTGGACTTCTTCCAGACTTTCGCTCCGACCCCGAAGATGACTACTCTTCGGGTTCTGTTACACCTAGCTGCTCAGCGTGACTACGAGCTTCACTCACTCGACTTCTCCACTGCCTTCCTTCAGGGCAGCCTACACGAGCAGGTCTACCTGCGCCGCCCTCCGGGCTTTACTGGCACCTTCCCTCCTGGGACCCAGTGGCTCCTGCGGCGCCCCATCTACGGCCTGCGCCAGGCTCCCCGTGAGTGGCACGACACTCTGCGTGCTACGCTTGCTGACCTGCAGTTCTTTCCGTCTTCTGCAGACCCTTCACTCTTCGTTCGTGCTGGCCAAACTCCGTTCTACATCCTCGTTTACGTTGACGACCTGGTCTTTGCCACAGCAGACAGGGACGCGCTGGCCTCCGTGAAGGCAGAGCTGCTGAAGAGACACACCTGCACTGACCTTGGAGAACTGCGCCGTTACCTTGGCTTGCAGATCTCCAGGGACAGAGCTGCGCGCACCATCACCCTGACTCAGTCACACTTGGTGCGCCAGGTCCTTCAGAGGTTCAGCCTTCAGTTCTCCTCTGCACAGCCCACCCCTCTGCCTGTAGACCACAGGCTCTCCGCTCCAGTGCCTGAGGAGTTGGTAGAGCCCAGCGGCCCCTACGCAGAGCTGGTGGGTTGCCTCATGTACCTGATGACTTGCACTCGCCCAGATCTCGCATACCCTCTCAGCATCCTGGCTCGCTTTGTGGCCACAGGCAGACACCGACCGCAGCACTGGTCTGCCGCTAAGAGGGTTCTGCGTTATCTTGCTAGTACATCGGGCATGGGGTTAGTGCTAGGAGGACGCAGGCCAGCGGTCCTTACTGGGCACACAGACGCTTCGTGGGCAGACGACGCTGAGACTCTCCGGTCTACCCAGGGCTACTGCTTCAGCCTTGGCTCAGGTGCCGTCTTGTGGAGAGCTACTCGCTCCTCGTCTGTTGCACAGTCCAGCTGTGAGGCTGAGATCTACGCCGGTGCCATGGCGGCACAGGAGCTCCGCTGGCTGACCTTCTTGCTCACTGACTTAGGTGAGCGACCTAGCTCTGCCCCGGTCCTGTTCGCTGACAACAGGGCCATGATCCTCCTGTGTCAGGAGCCTCGACTCGAGGGCAGAGCGAAGCACATTCAGCTGCGGTACTTCCTCCTGCGTGAGCTACAGCAGCGACGTCAGGCTCGCGTAGTACACTTGGCCTCAGGTGCCAACACGGCTGATATCTTTACGAAGGCGCTTGCGCCTAAAGATCATCAGCGGCACTGTGTACAGCTTGGTCTAGTTCCTGTAGCCTCTCACTTGCTAGGACCTTGACTTTGTACTGTCCTTTATATGTATACTCAGACTGGACTTGTGTCCTCTCCCAGTGGCTGGACTAGTAGTGCCGCCCTGCTCTTGTGCTTGCCTTGTCTGTACTCCTTCTGACCGGTCGCTCAGACTCTTGTCTCAGAGGTTGGACTAGTAGTGCCGCCCTGAGCTGCTTGTTTAGGGTATTCCCCTATGCAGTCTAGGGGGTGTGTCAAACATGTGTATTTGTCATGTTTGTATAGACTGTATAGAGTCACCTCTTAGAGGATACAAAACTTAGATATATTTGTGTGTACTCTCACTTTACCATTATTCAATTTTTTCTGATATCCTGAGGGCTAGACACTTTTTGGTGATGGTCAACTCACCTTATAACTTGGGGTCTGGAAACCCCTCCCTTTCCCTTTGTATTTTGGGTTTTGGAACCCCCTCCCTTTTGTCACCTTGTAACTTGGGGGCTAAAACCCCCTCCCTTTCCTCACCTTGTAACTTGGGGTTGGAGACCCCGTCCCTTGCCTCACCTTGTGACTTGGGGTCTGAAACCCCCTCCTTTGCCTCACCTTGTAACTTGGGGTCTGGAACCCCCTCCCTTGCCTCACTTTGTAACTTGGGGTCTGAAACCTCCTCCCTTGGAACTCTAGGCTGAACTGTTCCCGTCCACACACCCACCATAGCGGATTCTAGCTTAACCCTTGGTGTCTGAAACCCACTTAGGGGAAAGGTCGGGACATTGGAGAGAGTAAGGAATTGATTCGCAGAAGAGGGGGGTGAAACCTTCAAGGCAACACAAGGGCTAGACACGGGAGGGATGCTAAACCCCAGCGGTAAGGCGATTGAGATGCAAGAGAGGGGGGTTCAACCCCATGGTTAGGTGAACCCAAGGCAGAGGAGGGGGGTCCCTCTGCCCCTTGCTCAGCCTAACCCCCTTCTCCCCCCTGGGAATTTCAACCGCCCTCCCCTGCGTTGCCCTCACCCTTCCTTGGGATTTTCACCCTCCTCTCTTTTGCCCCTCCATTGCCCTTCATTGAACTAAAAAGGGGGGTTTCAACCCTCCTTCTCTTCCGTTCACTCCACTTACAGTAGTAATTGTTGCAGACGCCTCCTTTGCTGCTCACTCTAAATACCCAGGGGGTTTCAGACTCCCCTTCTCCTCTCCCCGTACTCAACTTACAGTGGTGGTTGCTGCAGATGCCTCCTTCTCTGTTCACTCTAGTTAACCAATGGGCTTCAGCCCCACCTCTCCACTCCCCCTCACTCAACTTACAGTGGTGTTCGTTGCAGACGCCTCCTCACTGCTCATTCTAAACACCCAGGGGATTTCAGGCCCCTATTTTCTCTTCCCCTTATTCAACTTACAATGGTGTTTGTTGCAAACGCTTCCTTTGCTGCTCACCAAGTGGGCGAATTCGTTGGGGTCCCCCAGCGTTTTGTGTAAATTCGTAAGCGTAAAATTCGCAAACGCGAATTTACCTGAAATTCGCGAAACGCTGGGGGAAAATTTTCGGGGCAGCCTGGACAAAAAAACACGAATTTTCACACTCGATTCGCGGCGACTTGGCGAAGCCATCCGTGGCCTCGCCAATTCGCGATTCTAACTTTTGAACCTCCAAACATGCTCCCAACCCCTCCCATGCTCCTAACCGCATCAAACCCCACCGCATCTAGAGAACCCAACCCATCCACCACCCAACTTACGCAACCATATCACGCACGCATATCACACGCTACTCTACCAGATGTAGAGTACATCTAGCTAATCACTCCGCATCCTAGCTAGTAGATCTAGTTTAAGCAAAGATGTGAGCTTAACTCACTAGAATCCAATCAGCAATGTCGGACCTCCCAGACCAGGGCCCTAGTGGGGACGCGGCAGTCGATGCGTCAGGTGAGGCCTCTTCATCCACCCCTTGCATTCGAGATGATAAGCACGTAGTCTTTCAACATTTTAAGTTTAAGAGCAAGGAAATGAGTTGGGTGCAGCGGTACTGGTGCAAGCACTGCGGAGCGGACTTTATGGGCACAGCAAATGGAGGCGTTGCTGAAAAAGGAGACCCACGACGTGCTGACGGCGACGGCTAAGAGTGCTATTAATGAGATCGTGACAGCGCGTTGGGATGGGAGCCTGGCCTGCCCGCTGCATGTGGTTGGTCAAATTCTTAATCCAGTCAACCAGTCGGCGGACATATTCAGCCCCAACCTGGACTGCACAAACGAGTTCAAGGAGTTCGTGCAGCGCCACTACGGGGGGGTCATGGTCCCCCAGAAGAGGGGACCGCCGAAGCGTGCAACCCTTGTCATACAAGAGGGGCTGGCGGATTACTTGGAGTTGAGGAGGAGACCATTATTGTCCGGCAGTTGGTCAAGGAGGGCACGCACACCATGAAGGCATGGTGGCGGTGGCACGGCACCGACCACCACTTGCTCACGGCACTTGCCCGCCGTGTGCTGACACAGCCTATGTCGGCTGCCTCCTGCGAGCGCAACTGGGTGGTGTGGGATGCTATCCACACCGCCCAACGCAATAGGTTGGGGTCTCAGAAGCTGTCGGATTTGGTGTATGTTGCGCACAATTGGAACGTTGTGCGCAACTGGCATGCGAAAGGGGAGGGGATGAGGGTGGTGGTTGGGAACATCCCTGACCCGCCTCTCCCCGTGAGGGACAAGGAGTTGGATGAGGAGGCATTGAGGGAGGGGGAGGAGGGGGGTGACGCGGAGCTGCTGGATGAGTACATGTCAGGCCCATAGTTATCACGCTTTTTACGCTGATTTTGCTTTTTTTTTTCAGGGTCTTCTCTTGTACCGACCCTGATGAATCAGCCTTGAAAACGAAAGAACCAGGGCCAACCAGTAAGAAAACCACTACCAAGAACTGATTTTCAGGGTGTTTTTTGAGATCAACACTGATCAATCAGCGTGGCCTAAAACGAATCCGAGGGCCTGGTACATGTAAAGGGGAGCATGGTAGGGGGGGTTGGGTGGGGGATGTGTGAGTATGGTTAATAATGTTGCTGTAGGTTGTTGTAGGGCTGTTTCTGTGAAGGATACCCCCAAACTCTCGAACATGCTATTGCCATAAACGTTGAGAAGCAATATTTATTTTGTGCTATACACTGGCGGAAAGTATTGCCCGGATAAAATCCAATTTTAGGTTCAACAAATGATTTGAATGCTTTCAACCGAGGTATCGTTGAATCTTCAAAGCTGACTAGTAATTAACGAGTGCCAATTGCATTAGGGTAACACGTTTGCAATTTGTATGTGTCGCACCAATAGCGTGGACAAGATTTCAGTCGTGTGAGTGCATCCGAACAGTTTCGGCCAAGCAGCGGACTAGATCCGTTCTCGACTAGCGCATTCTCTCCATAATTCCTAACGCACTCGTCGATTAGTCAGGATAGAGTTTATACCCGAGGCTTAGACTAGGCCAAGATGAGACCGATAGATGAGGCTCGTCGGGCCCGGATCATAACACTGTTGCGTAGGGGGTACAACACGAGGCGAATCGCGAAGCAGGTTGGCGTTGGGAAAAGTACAGTACATGATGTCGGACTCAAGGCGATTACAGAGACTAGTCTTGAGGACGTGCGTCCTACAATGCCCACTGCTGGTCGTCCACGTGTAATTACGAATAGAATTTGTCGTGGGATCGTCAGGGCGATCACTAGCAGTGAGGCGAAAACCTCGAGGCATGCGGCCCAGATCGTCGAATCCCAGCACGGCATCACGATGCATCCTAGGACGGTGCGTAATGTGCTCAAATCCAGCGGCCTTATCGCAGTTCAGCAGCCTAAGAAGCCGCGACTCTCCAAGAAAAATATCCGCGATAGGCTGGCGTTCGCACGGGCCCACGCGGATTGGACCATAGATGATTGGCGACGGGTGATATGGTCGGATGAGACGAGGATTAGTAGGTTCTGCTCTGACGGCCGCGCGTACGCCTGGGTTCGTGAAGGTACGACTCTCCAACACCACCAGATCAAGCAAACCGTCAAACACGGGGGCGGCGGCTTGATGATCAGGGGATGTATGACGTTTGAGGGGGCGGGTTTCATGTGCAAAATCGATGGTCGGATGGACGGGCCGCTGTATCTGAGCATTTTGCAAGACGAGCTAAAGAATACCATCGACTTTTACAAGCTAACCCCCTCAGATTTGATCTTCCAGCATGATAACGACCCCAAGCATAAGTCCTGTGTGGTGCAGCAGTGGCTTCAGGAGCAGGAGTATGGGGTCCTGGAGTGGCCGGCAGGAAGTCCAGATCTGAACCCCATTGAGCATCTTTGGGCTCATCTTAAAAGGGAGCTGGGTAAGCATGAGACACCTCCCACTGGTATGGTGGACCTGTGGGAGCGTGTACAAGGGGAGTGGGAGAAGATCCCATCAGAGGTGTGCTCCAATTTTATCGACAGCATGCCCAGGAGGGTGAAAGCAGTGATTAGGGCTAAAGGGCGGTGGACAAGGTACTAGTTTAAGGGTTGTTCAAGTTGCTGCTTCCGCCTGGAACTAATTGTCCACATGCACCGTGATTGGTTATGTCTGCTTTTTACTGTTAACGATAGTAGTTTCATCAAATGTGAAGCATTTTTGTGTCCCAAGATTTGCCTGCATATAGTGGGTAATGCGTCCAATTAAGGCTTAATGTACAAATGCCCTTTAACGGTGGAAATTCGGAAAATTGCAAAACATGTGGACAATTCTTTCCGTCAGTGTACCTTCCTGTCTGGCCTTGTGGCTTCTCTTCCAATGGTCGGACTAGTAGTGCCGCCCTGGTTTGCTCTTATCTTGTTTGTACTCTTGCTGACTGTACTTCAGACCCTTGCTTCAGAGGCTGGACTAGTAGTGCCACCCTGAGCTGTGTGTCGACTTCCAGGCACTGCCCCTCATCTGGCCTAGGGGGTGTGTCAAACATATTTGTATATGTTATAATAGGCTAGATAGGTGCATGCTCTCAGAGGGTACAACCACTTGAACAAAATCAATCTGTATGCTTCATTCTAGTCAATTGTGTTGGAAATGCCTCGAGAACTTAAGCGTTTCTTAAGTGTAACACTACACTCGAGGAAAGTCGTATCGGGTACGCGAGTCAACGGAGGTTACACGAGGAGGTTGGACGAAAGAATACGAAAGGGCGAAGGAATTCGAAGGGTCGCAACCGGAGGTTGCGATTGACCGTTGCGACTGCAAGGGTGGTAACCGAGGCGACAATCGAGTCGCTGTGCGACTCGATAACTGTTCCTTCAACTGTATTCTACAACTGCTTCATCTCTTACAGCTCTGTACTTGTTTCTTTTAATCAATCACTTGCTCTCACATACTAGTGCAAGGGTTCAACTACTCAACACTTCCGTTGCACTACTCAAGCATTTCATACAAGTGGGACTTAGTCTCTGAAAAGATCCTAGGGCTTTTCTCAGGCCGACATGGTATGAGAGCTGGTCAGAGACCAAACTCCCGTCAACAACATCCTATCTACAGTCAGCATATAAAAAGCTTCATCGATTACAAGACATGGACAACAAGGGCAAGAATTCGTCTACGGGCTCACCCAGTGCCCAAGCCACTCAACCTGGCACTTCTGGACTTCACACCTCTGGATTACAAACCGAGACCGGCGCTGCTCAAGAAACAACAAGAAGAGTACCAGAAATGGTGACCCCTTCGCCCTCTTCAGGTGTGGACCCGAACCTTATGGAAAGGTTCTTCAGCTTCATGCCAAAGTTACCCAGCAGCTCTTCGCACGCATCGCTGCCCTACAGGAGGAGATGCGAGCCGACCGCGAAGCTTGGCGAAACGAGCTCGAGCGAGTAACTCGACTCGCCGGCGCGCAACACGAAACGACAACGGCGACGACGCAGCAATCGCAGCAGTTTCTCGAGGATCTGAAACCACACCCACCTGAGCCGTTCGATCCGAGCTATCGAAACTCCGACGCCCGCAGATGGATCGCTGGCATGGAGATCTACTTCGCAGCCGTCGGATGGAGCTCGCCAGTCTGGGATGGACAACGCGTACGACTCGCGGCGACACTGATGCGAGGGCCGGCACTCGAGTGGATCGGCGGTAACAGCACATTCATCCACGGCGAAGCCACGTGGCAGCAGTTCCGCACCGACCTGCTGAAACGCTTCGAGCCGATAAATTCGGGTTTCCTTGCCCGGGAAGAAATTCATCGCCATCGACAGTTCGGGTGTGTAGCACAATACACGCACTAGATGGAGGAATTTTATAACCAAATTCCCGACCTGACCGAAGGGGAAAAAGTACAGTCTTACCTCGCCGGGCTGAAGACCGAAGTCAAACGCCAGGTAGCAGCGTCAAACAACGCGAGCTACAGTGACGTCGTTTCGGCAGCGGAGCGCTTCGACATGGTCAACGCTGGGACACGACGAACGCACGTCGGAAGTACGCGACAGGGCGACCGCTCGGCTCACCCCACGTTCGCCGACCCGATGGAAGTGGACAGGTTCGAAGGGCGGCCACGTCCGAAAAACACCAACTACACGTGTGATTTCTGCGGGGTGCCGGGTCATCGAATCTTCGAGTGCAACAAAATGAAAGCCGCACGCGCAGAGTATCGGGCACGCAACAGTGACGGAAATCCTTCGGCCAATCAGAAGCCAAAAAACGGGACTCACCAGTGATTGCGGATCTAGCTGGCGAAAAGGAAAAGATCCAGAAGCGACCGCGGGATTCCGGAAAAATCAACTTCGACGCAGCTGATTCGACCGAAACAGGAGGAAATGATGGGGGAAAATCTCCACCCCACGACCAGTCTTCGCAAGGGAAAATCGCCGAGAAAAAAACGGACTCCGCGAAAAAAGACTCTGCCGAGATGGGGAAACTCCTTGAAGACCCAAGAAATTATAAGGATTCGTTAAAGCTATCCTATAAAGATGCTTTAATGAAAACTTATGATTCTCGAGGGGCTAGAGCCTTGGAGAAATTTCGGGATGGACTCCAGAAGAAGCAGAAAATTGTGGAGATCGTAACGGTACCGGAAAACTTGGGGACCAAATTAAGGAGTGTGAAAAGAAGCCGACCTTTCCACGGAGTCAACGTCCTATCCCGACACCAGCCCACAGCGACTACCCGTTCCCCAGGGAAGACGTCGGTGGAGCTGAAGCAGCTCAAGAGGAAGCTGGGGGTCTACAAAAAGCTGCAAAAACCCCGAACTCCTCCTATGGATGCATCCAGCTCGGCAACTTCATCAACGACGCCCACAGTCGTCACGAAAACTCCGAGCCCAGGAGAAGAACCCTTCTCCAAGCAGCCTCGGCCAGCTGCCAGCTCAGGAGTAGGAAGCAACGAATATTGGGATGTACCCTATGACCCAATCAATGAAACTATTTTTGGGTACTCCGAGCAATGCCTGCCCCTCGTGCTCGAGGTCATCTGCAAAGGACGATGCCTCCGAGCACTCGTGGACAGCGGAGCATCGCACACCGTATGCGACAAGGCAACCATCGACTGACTTCGAGAAGAGTACAAGCCATCAGCGTTTTCTGCAACAATGGTGGACGGCAGCAAGTTACCAGTGTACGGCGAAGCAGTGCTACACCTACAAATCGGTCCACTGCGCTGGAAACATGCTCTCCCCATCACCAATATAAAAGGGCTTGACCTGATCTTCGGGCGAGACTTCCTCAAGAAATTCAACCCCGAGATCAACTGGGTAAACCGCACCGCAAGCATCTACAACAAAGGAAGGAGAGTCCAGCTACCCAACTGGGACGATACAGGAGATATCCTAGTGGAGACACTCGCCAGATTCGAGAAGGACGTGAAACAAACCAACACCGGGTTCTTGGCGATAGCGACAGAGCTGGGGAATCACGGAGAGAAAGCCTCGGAACCTCCAGAAAAAATCAAGGACTTACTGAAGGAGTTCCAAACCATTCTTCCCGACGACCTCCCGGACGAGCTACCGCCATACCGAACGCACCAACACGAGATCGTGGAGGAACCAGGTTCGAAACCGACCTTCCGAGCACCATATCGGCTAAGCCCCACAGAACTAGCCGACATGAAGAAACAGATCGAGTATCTCATCGCCAAAGGACTCATCCGACCATCCACTTCACCATACGGTGCCCCTGTACTCTTCACACTGAAACCGGACGGAAGCCTGCGCATGTGCATCGACTACCGAGCCCTCAACAAGCAGACCATCAAGAACAAGTACCCGATTCCACAAATTGATGACGTGCTTGACCAGCTTCGAGGAGCCACGGTATTCTCAAAACTAGATCTGCGGTCCGGATACTGGCAGATAAGAATGACGGACGATTCCGTTCACAAAACTGCTTTCCGAACTCGGTACGGATCGTACGAGTATCTGGTAATGCCGTTCGGACTCACCAACGCACCTGCAACATTCCAAGCAGAAGTGAATCATACTGTATCCTACGCCCACTCTTGGACGAATGCGTGGTGGTGTACCTGGACGTCATCCTCATCTATTCGCGCGACATGCAACAACACGTCGAACACCTGCGACGCGTCTTCAAAATTCTTCGACGAGAACGCTTCTACGTCAAACTATCCAAGAGCGACTTCGCCCTCGAGAAAGTCTAGTTCCTCTGACATATCATAAGCGCTCAAGGAGTTCACGTCGACCCCAAGAAAATCGAAGCCGTACGTACGTGGAAGACACCCGAGAACATGAAGGAGTTACAACAGTTTCTTGGCTTTGCTAACTACTAAAACAGGTTCGTGCCGCAATACGTGATGATCGCCACACCACTCACGAATCAGCTGAAGAAGAACACGCCCTATAAATGGGAGCCACAACATCAGGAAGCCATGGAGCAGCTGAAACAAGCACTCACGTCTGCACCTGTACTCATCTTGCCAGACCCCGAACGCGACTACGTTATCGAAGCCGACCCCGGCGACCAGGTAGTGGGAGCAGTCTTGATGCAAGACCAGGGGAATGGACTGCAACCAATTGCCTACCTCAGCAAAAAATTACATGGAGCAAAACTCACCTACCCGATACATGACAAGGAGGCCCGTGCTATCATCATCGCCTTCACAACGTAGAGATGCTATCTCGAAGGACGCAAGACGATAGTCTACACTGACCATTGCAGCCTAAAATATTTGAAGACGCAACCAAGCCTCTCCAGGCGGCAGGTCCGGTGGATTGACTTCCTCAAGACACACTTCCACTACGACATCATGTACAAGCCCGACCACAAAATCAAAGCAAATGTGCTTAGGCGGCCTACACACGTTGCCGCTATCCAAGTTGAAGGGATGAATCCACTCCTCAAGGGACTCTTCACACACGGGTACACCATCGACCCCGAAATCCCCTTGCAGAAAAGCGACACCTACTACAGTGGGACAGTGACATTGCATACCGGAAAGGATCAACGAAAATCTGGGTACCCAATTACCCTCCTTTGCGTCAGTTACTACTCGAAGAATACAATGACGTCCTATACGCTGGACACTTCGGTAGCAACAAGACGCTGACCGGTATTGCAAAGCACTACTACTGGCCCCACTTGGCAGAAGATGTTCAGAAATTCGTCACCTCGTGTGATACATGTCAGCGGATCAAGAGCAGCAAGCAGAAAAAAGCAGGTCTGCTACAGCCTCTTCCTGTCCCAGAACAACCATGGCAAGTGGTAAGCCTAGACTTCATCATCGGGCTACCCACTACTACAAGCGGTCATGACGAGATCCTCGTCGTCATTGACCAGTTCTCCAAAATGGGACACTTCATCCCGACACACACGATAGCACGCACGAAGAAACAGCACAACTCTTCGTTCGATACATCATCTCACAGCATGGCATTCCAATCACACTTATCTCCGACCAAGACCCCAAGTTCACCAGCAAGTTCTGGAAGGAACTTAGGTCTCTACTCGGGACCAAACTCTCCATGTCATCCGCCTACCATCCGCAGACAGACGGACAGACCGAGCGCCTCAACCAGATTGTTGAGCAACTCTTCCGAGCAGCCTGCAAGGATGAGATCTCCAAATGGGACTTGCACCTGCCTGTTTTAGAGTTTGCTTACAACAACGCTACACATGCCGCTACTGGACAGACGCCGTTTTTCCTCTGTTACGGATGCCACCCACTCACACCACAGAAACCGACAACATCAGCAACAGTCCAACCAGCACACGACTTCATCACAACCATGCATCAGCTTTGGGATCGGACCCACAAGCGCCTCCTTGACATTCAGCAGCAACAGAAGTGCCTGGCCGATCGCCATCGCAACGACCACACCATCACTGTGGGAGACCAGGTGTTTCTCGAAACCCGCAACCTTGACATCAGCCATCTCCCATCTAAACTTCGACCTCGCTTCTGCGGACCTTTCCTCGTTGAAGCACAGGTCACTCCTATTACCTTCCGCTTACGCCTACCAGCAACCTGGAAGATTCACAATGCCTTCCATGTCCAACTGAAGCCCTATCGGGATCCGAACACGATCTTCGTCGGACGCCAACCGCCGCCGCCGCCACCCGTCCTCGTCCAGAATGAACCCGAGTACGAGGTCGAGTCCATGCTTGCACACCGCCATCGTCGGAATGGCGCCGTGGAGATTCTCATTCGTTGGAAGGGTTATGATCCTTCTGAGGAAAGCTGGGTACCTGAGTCCGACATGGGTAATGCCCGTCGTCCTCTGCATGACTACGTTGTCAAGCAGGGTGTTACTTCTACCACCCAGCTTTGAGGGGGGGAAGTGTGAGAGTACGACCCCGTTACACCACTTGGCCTTTTCTTATTTCCTTCCTATTTCATTTCTCTTTTTATCCCATCTCATTTGGTTTTCTATTCTCCATTTTCCATTATCCTTTGGTTTATCCTGCTATTATAATTATATCACCGACCAAGCTTGGGATGTACTGGCACGCTATATCTAGCGTAATCCTACCGTAATCCCTTAAAGCCAATAGCCTCGCGTGGCTATAAGTAGGGTGATTCTATATTCTAGAAGGGTCTATTCCCTTTGGATAGGATAAACCTGGTTACCTGATGTACTTTGGAAGTATAAAAGCGTCTTGTACTGATCGATAGTGCAACCTTTCCTCGACACATTCGATCCTGTGACACAGGAGCTACTTGGCAGAAAGAGGCATCAAACGCCTGGTGTCCCTTCCCTACGCCCACCAGCAGCAGGGGGTCGCAGAGAGGATGAACCGCACCTTGCAGACGATGATGCTGAAGCTGCTCCTGGGGATGAGACTGCCCAACACCCTTTGGCCTGACGCGATGACACATGCAGTCCACCTCCACAACTTGCTGTCCTTGTCATCACTTCCCAACAGCGCTTCACCACATCTGCTGTGGACAGGAAAACTGGGCAGCACAAAATTACTTCGAGTCTTCGGCTGCATGGTACAGTACCGACCCCATACAGCCCGAGCAGGACGGTTTTCTCAACGAGCAAGGTGGGGACTACACCTTGGCATCACAAAACATTTTCACGCGAGGAATCTTCTCGACATCCATGACAAAACCACCGTGGCCTCACGTGATGTGCTTTTCTACGAGAGACTGACGCTGCAGCATTACCTGGACAACGTTGCCAACTTTGCAGACCCCACCGACGGCTTCGAGGGCCATCGGTCCTTCGCCGATTGTGCTGCCGAAGCTGACGCAACAGAAGAAGACGTACCTGAAGCCTCGGAAGCTGCCGGACCACTCCCTTACTACTGCGTGCCCGTTCCACTAAACGACGACAACCCTCTCGATAGTAACAGCCTCGACACCTTCTAACACTTCGCTGACCAGGGCTACACTACACCTCAAACGGTTGACACAAATGTCTCTGAACTCATCGGACCAAATTTCTCACCTGATCCTGAAGATGGCGACAAAGCAGCTTATCCCGGGAATGAAAATTCCCCTCGACACACACCCACGGGCCTGCAAATACTTGGACTATGGGTCGCCGTCCAGTGCCCGCCGCTGCCGTCACCGCGCGAGCCAACAACTCTGTCGCAGGCTCTGGGGGGGGAACACAAGGCGAAATGGAAGGAGGCAATGGAAAAGGAACTGAAGGCCCTGCAAGACCGAAACACATGAAAACTAGTCCCTGCAACAAAGACCAACGGGCGGAATGTGCTCTCGGGGAAGTGGGTGTACCGAATCAAGACTAACGCGGATGGCTCCATCAACCGCTTCAAAGCTCGCTGGGTCGTACGTGGATTCGATCAGCGATACGGAACCGACTACATGGAGATATCCGCCCCAGTCTCCCGACATACAGCGACGGAAAGTATTGCCCGGATAATTGCCTTAAAACATTTCTCGTACTGGTTTGGTGCCTTCTTTGTTTAGTTACGAATCAAATTTCGGGGTTGGATGTAAAGT